GACATCGTTAAGATCTGTCATCCAATATCCACTTCCTGCAGCTAAATGCTGCTAGCTAATAGTTGGAAGTCAAGTACAATATGTGAAATATCCGGGTCGACTAGGTTCAGGGAATTTATTGACAGGGACCCAATTCAAATTGTAGTTCTTTCAAATCGCTGATATATTGGAATTCATACAAAAAGACTGCATATTCCGTTTCAAATTTATTGAGTGAATTACGGCACTTTAGACTAAGAAGAGACAGTCACCTCCTTTTTTGTTACTGCCTAGAAACATATTTTAAGGAAAGCACTTTGTTGACAAAAAATATATAAAAAGTCTGTTAAACTATATGAACTGAATTAAATGAATTCAGCGAGAACTGTGGTATTAAAACGGCAAATAGTGGCTAGTCTTGTGAGGTGATAGGGTATCTACCGCACAGCCATTGTGATCTATCGAACTAGAGCCAATTTTAATAGCAAATGCTATAAAGAAACTGCGTGAGTTACTTTGAGTATTCTAGACCTTATTATACTAACTGTAATATTAACCCCACTTATAATCTTACTAAATTATATTATTTTTATAAGTTATTCACAAATGCGTTTAACGTAACAAACGCCTCGGACCAGTATTATCTCCAATAATAACTACCAAAATACAACCCAAACACATACTGTTTATGGTTCCGATGAATTGAAGTTGATTGTGCTACTGAAATAATACAATGCTAAGCAACCCAAGCAAAACATTGTGCACAATGGAGGAGTAATTCGGTAGTTCCAGATAATACCCAAATCAGATTATATAGCCAATAATGATGATAATGATTACCAATATACGGTTTGCTATATTTTCCAGGTTTGTTTTGACTTATGTTACTTACATATTATTTGTTTTATCCCTTGTCTTTATTTTTTTGTTATTCTAAAATGGGTTCTGTTATTCTACCTCATGTTATACTATAATGAAAACAAAACGTACTAATGAGGTTCATCTTCGAATAGCAGCTATATAATCAAAACAGGTTATTACTGTTATTATTGATATCAGGACAATAAGAGTATTTTAGAGTATACTGGAACTAGAGAGATATAGTAAGATACTTCAATAATTCATAAATAAATAAATTATACTTTTTTGTTTATATTTATTTTATTAAACTAAAAAATAAAAACTCTTCAAATAAACAACACACTTGTCTATAACATAAGATTCAACAAATTTTAAATGAAAATAAATATTATAAAAAAATCAGATTTAGCAAAAAAAAAATAGTTAAAACCTATTTTAGTAAAAAAAAGTAACAACTTTCTTTTTTCTGTGTATTTCGTAAAACTCAAATAACTACTGAGGCACGTGTCTAGGGAAGCGGTAATAGTTTTCGGTGTCTACGAGAACAATTTTCAAAAAATAATATTTATTTATTTATTTAAAAAAATAAAATTCAGAAAGTTCATTGCGATTAAATTATATATAAAACAATAATAATAGAATTAAACTATCAAAACTTGAGTTATAAAAATATTTGAAGTACGAGTACTTGAATTACAAACTATGAGTATTTTTTGCTGTAGCTTGAACGCACAGAGGTGCTATTTACACTGGCGGGCTTAACGATTTTCTTGGTGGCAACCTTATCACCATTACTTGTCTTCGATGTGGTGTTATTGTTTATTGTGCTAGAGTTATTGTTGTTAAGAGTGAGTGGCCGTCTTGGAGGCATGCGTTCATTAACAGCATCCAAACCTTTAGCTTCAGCAAATGATGAAATTTGTGGAGTAGCACCGAGACCTTGGAGTGCTAAAGAGAGATATTTTTGTTTATTAAAAATTTTAAACTTTAATAACTAAATAAAAAATACCGCTGTGCAATGAATCTCTGCCACCTGATAAGGCACCAACTGGTAATGCACCTGTGGGTGTAAGCCCTTTAAGTTGTAAGACACACTCAGACTCTTCCCTGAAAGTAATATTGTGGGTATTGAAAAAAAAATTTATATATGTTAAAATTATTATGCTTTACCTTAACACTGAAAAGACTCGAGACATTTTTCCTATAGCGCGTATTTTGTTTTTTATAACCTCCTTACGTAGTGCGGAAACTCCAGTAGCTATAAAAAGATATACAACAAATTGCTTACTATAATTACCAGAACTTCAACATTCAAAAAAAAGCTTAAGCTAAAAAAGTACGGGTATATACATACAAACGCAGGTTTGTGCACGCTCAAAGCTTTGCAAGCTTTTCTACATTTTTGCTAAAGCTTGAAAAACGTCGCGTGAAGCTTTCAAATGCTATGTTAAGCTTTCAAATGCTATGTTAAGCTTTCACAAATATACATAGAAAAATTATACACTTAAAAATATATTTATTTAGTTTGCATATAAACTTGCATTTTACCTTAGAAAAACTATATTTATCATTAGCATTAAGCACTGTTTTCTGATTCAAAGCCTTTTGATTCTAAGCCTTTGGCCTAAAAGCATTAACTAATTTAAGTAAATTTATTACTGGTTCTTACCTGGTTTGGGCGGTGCATTATTTGAGTTCAATGGCACAAGAACAATTTTTTTGCGCAGTTCTTGTTACACCAAATATTGTATATATATTAAATATATTTTTGTACATACATATATATTTTTATGAAAGAGAAATTATGTTTTTAAAAAAATGTGTGTATTTAAAGTGTTTAAAAGATATATTTTTAATAATGGAAATATATATTAGATATTCATTATACGAGTATTCTAAAATAGTACAACACTTAAAGCAATAGTTTCAATAAACAACATTGATTCAGATATCTGAGACAATATTAACGAATATATAATATAATAATTGTTTATTAAGTATTTCGTGTAACCGATAAATATATACATATCTTATGATATATAAACTGAACTGAACCCTAAGAAAATGTCACTAAAAAGTGCTTATTGTTTATAAGTTACTAGTAGGCTTAGGTTAACATAGTGATATTAGGGATTTAATTAATCTGCTGGTCCACTGTGTTCTAAACTTTCAAATTATTTAAAATTAATATAAAAATTAATAAAATATATTAAATTAATATTGAATTTTTTGTAAGCATATTTTATAATTCCCATTAAATGTATAATATTTTATACGGTTATGCATAGTTTTTTATAATTCTCATTTAATTTGTTGAATAATTCCTGTAAATGGAAACGATTTTTATTGGCAAGTGTTTACAATTTAATGAAAATTTATGAAAATGGTCTTTCAATGTTTTATCGTTATATAATTCTTTCATTTGTGTTGCTTTAAATCAAATTGAAAAATATTAATCATGGGTCGTATGACAAAATAATTTAATCAATTTAAACGTGTGAATGGTTTTTAGATCTTTGGATCCTTCTTAAGTTAAAAATAATAAAGACTTGGTTATAGATCTTACAAAAAATTGCGATGAAGTTACGGTATCTACATCCACTACATAGTAGGCAAATATCAGTCTTAACTCTATAAAAAATGCTCTATTGTTGCAATTATTTTTTAAATTAAAAAGATTAAGGTATGAGCACGGTTGCCACTTGAAAATTTTTTTCTGTACCAAAATTGATTTAAAAACGTACCATTTCTGTAAAAAAAGGTCCAAAATTTTTTTGGACCTTTTTGTTTTCTCGTTCTGTGTTTTTCATAGTGTTATAAATGAACAAAATCACGGTTGCCACTTTTGGTACTTTAGTACCAAAATTGGTACTTTTTTTTCCATTTGGTACTCTGGTACTCATGTTCAAAAAATGGTACATTTTCGGCGACCCAACTTTATTGTGGATATTGTATTGTTTTATACTTTTTGTACATTTTATATAAATTGTATTTTCTTATAAAAAGACAATAGAAAAATTTTGGACCTTTTTTAACAGAAATGGTACCTTTTTAAACCAATTTTGGTACAGAAAAAAATTTTCAAGTGGCAACCGTGATGTTTTTTTTAAATGTATTAAAAAAAAATTAATTGAAATATCCACAATAAAGTTGGGTCGTCAAAAATGTACCAGTTTTTAAACATGAGTACCAAACGAAAAAAAAAAAAGTACGAGAGGCACTTTCATCATCCTCTCCACAATTGCAACAGGAAAAAGGGAGGTTTAGTATCCTAGCATATTTTACTAATCTGTTATGATCTGTGAGGAAATCTCTGACAATACTGATATTTCAATGAGAGTATTGAATTTCCTTTTAATGGAACGTGACCAGCTTTTTATTTATATTTTTTTTATTTTTTATTTTCTATTTTTAGTTTTTATTTTTTATTTGTATTTTTTATTTTTATTTTAATTGATGAAAAAAATTAATTAACGTGCCTAATTAAACCTTATTAAAGCTCAAATTGATAAATTATGTTGAAGCAAATAGCTTCAATAGCCAGTGCATTTGAGCACTTTTACTCTTTATGAACTCGAGGTATCTTCAAGACCCCTCTTAACGCCTTGACTGGATTATCATTTATCACTTCATCAGACTAAGCAATAATTGACCTCAGATCTGTATATCTCTCCGAGGAGCCTGTAACCATTCTGAGGTGTTTATAAGTCTGTCAGTTTTCGCAAATAATTTCAGGGCTCTATTCTTTCTGTAGATAAAGGATTATTATTCTGATATGATATAGATATCAATAAACTACTTTTCAAATTGGAATAGAAGTTAAAACTCACATATTAATTAATTCTGTTTGTAATTATAATTAAATTTTGCATTCTATATGACATGTGTTGAAAAATAAGCTGAATAATTATTTTTTCTTAACAAATTAGATCTTAAGGATTTGAATAATAATTATAAAAGAAATTATTAAACTTTTATTTCTAATTTATCGGTTACAAATAATCGAATATATAAATCTAAAAAATTATATTATAAATAAAATGAGTGCTCACCTTCTTCCAATTCATCGTCTGGCCCCGAAACAAGTTCATCATCTGAGCAAATATTCAATATATTCACGAGCATATCAGTGACCTAAATCAAACAAAGAAATCAGCTGATATATTCACATATTGTATATATAATATATAATAATTTTGAAAAATTTCAATTTTATTAATTTAAAAAAATCATTTCAGAAGAAAACTGCATAAATCGTTGGTATTTCATGCTTGATTTACCTTCTCGCCAACGAATGGCAATGACCACGTAAATACATCCATAAAATTTGGCAACCAATAGGGATGGGGGGAGCAATTAAATTGGCGTATGTTCATAACGTTATTCTCATATTTAAGTACAGCTGCCTTTTGTCAAATGACATTTGTGTTAATTATAACGAAATTTAAAAATAAATTAATAAAAATGTTATATGCAATACAATCACGAATAATTTTCAGAAATTATTAACGATAAAAATACTAAATACCTTATTGTTATATACGTCTAAATAATTGGGCGCCGAGAAAATTGTTATTAACGAAGGGAACCCAGTCGCTTGATTCTTACGATACATACGATAGCTATAAAATATATGAAATCATTTATATAAACGTTGTTTTTAAATTAAAAATATTAAAGTTAACAAACCCAGCATCTTGAGCTTCATGGGCACGGACTACGGAGAGTAAATTATTTTTTGACAGGAACTCACAGCATGCATTGTAACTGTTAGAATATTTAATAAAATTTTTTTATTTTCTTTTTATTTTTTTTTTTTTTATATTATTAATATTTTATTAAAAGTTCTTTTTCTTTTTATTAATATTTTTTTAAAACATATAATATATCTCTTTATAAAACTTAATTCTATTTTATTTTATCTAAGGAAATTATTTTATTTACTTAAGAAATATGAAAATATTTACCTAAAAAAAAATGAACAACCTCTAACTGAGTTGTGTGTAAAGTAATCGGAATTCTTTTCATTACCAAAATCCTCTAATGGATCCGACCATAGTAGATCACACATTGGTCCATAAGCTGGTGGTTCTCTGAATCTGTCGAGCTATACAATTTTATAATTAAAATTTTTGATAAATAATTTTAACACAATAATTTTTGAATTAAATTATTATATTTAATTAATATAAATTTAATTTATAAATTTAAATATTTAACACAAATTAATATTTTATTTAAAAAAACATTTTTTATAATTCTATATATTAAATAAATGACCTAAGCCCGGTTTAAATCAAAAAACTTATTGGAAATTGAATGCAAGAGAAATTTTTGGCTGGATTGGTTACACCTTACGAAAGCTGTCAAGTAGAAAGCAGTAGAAGAAGAGGAAGGCCTAAGATTACCTGGCACAGATCAACACTAAACGTAATCAATAGGCAATCCACACACCTTGGCAGATCATACATCCACATTGTTAAGCTCATATAAGTGGCAGTAGGAAGGCAAAAATGGAGGCAATTTGTAGATAGCCTATGCCCAGTATAGAAGCAGCTTAGAATCATGTGGAGCCAAGCAAGACTTAATAATAATAGTAAATAATAGAATATTACATTTATTAATTATTATTATTTAAACAAATTTTATGTAATGTGTTTATCAATTTTTTTTCTTTACTTTTCAAAGTTGTTAGTTGCAACTTGAAAAACCTTACCCTGAAAGCATCTAGGGACTTATTAAAGAATAATTAACAACTTGCAGTATCGTATCCAAATTTTTTTATACTAAACTTAAATTTTTACTATTTTTACTATTTTATAATTTATATTTTATTAATAATTACCATAATTTTTTTATGTAATTATTTGCATTACACATAAGAGTCCTAAACATAATAAATTAATTTAATTAATTGCTTAATTTTTACTATACCTTCTTTATATCGTCCAGTGTAAAAATTTCTGGTGATAGTCCACCATGTATGCAAAGGAACTGCTGATTGAGCAGCGCAGCAAGGGGCAGACAATCGAAAGCTTCCATACAGGCATCATACACACGTTCAGAGTATTTGATTTTACCTGTAATATATAATATCATATATCATATGTCGTATATTATATATAAAATTTAACTTTCATTCTTACATTCTGTTTTAAAAGTGAAATATTCTGTTAAGTGTCGGCATTCGTGATTACCTCTTAATAAGGATAATGTCGTAGGATAACAGATTTTCAAAGCCCATAAATACAAAACACACTAAAATGAAATATTCAAAAATGTTTGTTATTAATTGTCTAATTGCTTTACTTTAGGCATTCCCTACCTCTATGCTAAAATAACCTCTATCGACATAATCACCCAAGAATAAATAACGCGTTGTCGCAGGTGGTCCACCAACTTCAAATAATTTTACTAAATCAAAAAATTGTCCATGTATATCACCACACACTGTGATTGGTGCTTCGACATCTATCATATTTTTTTCACTTCTCAGTATTGCGGCACCTTCATTTATAATCCGTAATGCTGGCTCCTCTTCTATTCTACCTTCAAGTTGAAAGTGTTGCCTCAAGGCATCAAAATTTGGTTTACCAGTTTTTGAGTCATAGACTTCATCCATTGTAAGTTTATGTACGGGTGCTAGTGGAACATCTGTAAAAATAATATTTAATTAAATTATTAACTGAATTTATATTATTTTATTTAAATAATTTTATTTCTTAAATAATAAAATCTATGTAGGAATGTGAATATTTTACGTTCTGTGTCAAATCAAAAAACGGTATGCTAAATATGTGTTTAGTTCATTACTAAGTAATTGCTATTTTAAACTCTGGTTAACTTTAACCAAAACATTTAACTGAAAAACATTTCACCGTTTATTGTTTCTGCTGGGTATAAGACGATCTATATTATTCTATTATTCTATATTATTCTAAGTTCAATATATCTTAGACTTTAGTATACATAGGGTTGCCATAGACTTTAATATATAAACTAAATTACAAAAAATTATGAATAATTATTATGAAAAATAATGCCACAGTTTCAGCTAAGTTTTAACCGGAAAATATTGAGTTAGGTAAAGTAACTGGAAATATTATTAACCGGTTGATTTTCTTTGGTTAACCGATGATTGAAGTTTCTTTGATGTATTTTCTTCAATTTACTCTGATTTTCGTTTGGATTCATGTTTTTCAAAGTAGAAATTTTTTTTCTACAATTATATGTATTAAATAAAGCTATTTAATTATAAAATTGTATGTAATAAGTTATAATGATAGAATAATACAGATTAAAGACATTTTTTTTGTTTTGTGAGTTAGTTGTGAGGAGGTGGAATGCTTTATGCACCGTAAAACCAATCGTCGCCGGAATAATGTGTCCGACTCCTATTTTGTAATATACGAACTAAAACACCTACTCTACTTTGGGATTTCTCCGCTTTCGCATTACTTCAGGGAGGATCCCTTATAAGTTGACCAAATGCTTCTCGTAAAACCTGTCTACAGGCTTCCACTCCTGATCAGAATTGGAATGTCATCAGATTGCTCTTCGTTTTAGATTAGTTTGTGTCTAGATCTTTCTTCTTTTCCCTCTGTTTATTTTCGATGAACTGTGTGATTTTGTTCCAATTTTCTGACGAGCAGAAAATTTCTGTCATTTTTTTACAATATTCTTGACTATGAAGTGACCTACATATTCTGCAAGTAGTGTTCTTTTTCCATGTCATCTTTCGCAGTTGAAGAAAGTATGTGCAACATTGTCCTCGATGGATTTGCAGTATATACAGTTGGGTTGCTCTGCTTTTTGCATTCTGTATAGATATTTTCGAAAATATCTATGACCAGATACGAACTATGTGACATTATAGGAACTTTCGGAATTTCAATAAAATATAATATAATAATATATAATACTATAAATTAACATAATAGTAAAATAAAAATATAATATAAATAAAGACAAATTAAGTTTTCTTTAAACTTAATAAATAATGTAATTATATTATTATTAATTAAAATTAAATTTAAATCATAATTTTAATTTCCAAATATGATTTAAAATATTTTAGTGTAAAATATTTGTGAGCCGCACTTGTAAACCAATGATATAAACTTTCAAGACATTTTGTTAAAAAAACTAAAATTATTAGTATAATTTTGACTATCACTATTTTAAAAAATAGTGAATGAATGTAGCAGATTCTTAAGAAATATTTTCGGTAAACCACTCAGTGAATTTAAAGACAGGTTAGGGGAGTGCCCTTAGAGGAATTTAAAAATAGAAAATAAAGATTTTAAAAAACATCATTCAAAAAAAGTTGTTGTTTTTGTTGTCAAAAATTTGATTATCATCAAATTGATTACATTTTTAATAGTTCATGGGAGAAAATTAGGATCCGAGTATCTAGTGAAGACTTTTGTTTGAAGTTATTTATATCACAAATTATATAAAATTATATCTAGTGTTAAATTGGAATTATGTTAGGGTGCTGCTTGAAAGAATAGATTATTCTAAGAAATGAATTAAAATGTTTATTATTTATATAGTCAGTTTAGTATATTAGTTTCAAATATTATTTTTAATTTTTGGTTAAATTTCAATTCAAGACATTTTCATTTTTATAAAAATAAAAAAAATTTCTAAAATCTGAAAGGCTTTTTTATTTTTAGGAATTCAATTGCCTTAAAATGTCACACTTCAATATAAAATAAATTAAGTTTTTCACAAGGTTAAAATAATATTTTGTTTGATTTATTTATTTTAATTAAATCGTCATAGTAAATTTTTACTTTGTGCCGATAAATGACAAAGTCAAGTAAAATTTATTAAAGTGCATATAAGCAAGGAAAATCGAAACGTTTTTCTAGTCAA